CTGCACTGGATCTTAGTTGTGGCATGTGGGATCGAGTCTCCTGACCAGGGATCGAACACAGGCCGCCTGCACTGGGAACAGAAAATCTTAACCACTGCACCACCAGGGAAGTCCCTGGAGCCTCTTTTATAAGGCATGAATCCCATGCCTTGAGCACCTCCCAAAGGTCCCACTCCTTAATCCCATCGCCTTTGGGGGTTAAGATTCAACATATGAATTTGAGCAGGGGACACATTCAGACCATAGCACATGCCATGGGGAGGCCTTGGAGACGGCCCTGACATGTCCCTCACATCCAGATCTCAGGTAGAAATCAGACCATCCCCAGAACATTTAGAAAGGGAAGCTGACGTCTTCCCATGTTCTCAGAGACCACAACCCGAGGAGAGGGGGTTCTGAAGTGCTAATGGTCTCTGTCCTGAGGTGGGGGTGAGGGTGGAGGGGTGGGAGGGGAGCTACTTAGGGTGGAGATAACCCAGACTCAAGAGTGAGACAGAATGGGTCAAATGCTGGCTCTGCCACTTACAAAATGTGTCCCTTGGGGTCAGTTGCTTCACTTTGCCTCAGTTTCCTCATCTGTACAAAGGAGATGAGGCATCAACCTTATGGGATTGTGTGAGCTTTAAAAGTGCATGGCATGTGGTAGGCACTCAGTACCTGGAGGATAACAAGGGTATCGATTTCCAAATCTGAGGGTTTCTCCTCCTCCTGGACAGAAGGAAGGGATGTAAGGAACTAGAGCTTCCTTTGTCCAGGGGGAAGCAGAGGGCAAGAAGATGAGCTTCTTGCACCAAGACATCTTGGGGGCCTAGGTCCCACTTATCTAAGAATTCATTTTGATCTTGAGCCTTACAACACTGGGTTAATAATTTTCATTCTTCCTCAGGCATCCTTCCCTCTATTCCCACTTCTGAGACCCAGTCTCTCTCCCTTTAATTATTTGGGAACAGGGAGAAACCTGGAAGCCTAGGTAGGCTGGAATCTTCCCCCAGGAGGTGGGACTTACTCTAGGGGGCGATTCAGATGAGTAAACCAGGGGTGTGTTAGCAGCTGGGAGTGGGCGGCGGAGCGGGGAGGGTTGTTGTCCAGAGGAAAAAAGCCAGCCCAGAGTTATTGGGAAGTACAAAGGTGAAGAAGGGTGATCCAGGGATCCAGTGGTTAAGAATCTGCCTTGCAATGCAAGGGACACCAGTTGGATCCCTGGTGCAGGAAGATCCCACACGCAACTAAGCCCATGTGCCCCAGCTGCTTGAGCCTGCGCTCTAGAACCCGTGAAACACAACTACTGAGCCCATGTGCTGCAACTAGGGAAGCCCACACGCCTAGAGCCCGTGCTCTGCAACAAGAGGAGCCACTGCAATGAAGAAACCCCAGCACTGCAACCAAGAGTAGCCTCCACTTGCCACAACTAGAGAAAGCCTGTGCACAGCAGCAAAGACCCACCACAGCCAAAATATAAATAAAAATAAATTTTAAAGAAATGTGAAGGAAAGAGTAAAATTTTAGGTCAGGCAAACCTGCATTCAAATACTGGGACTGTAGGACCTGTGGCAAGTCCTTTGACCCACAATCCTCTGACCCACAGAGGATTCAATCCCTGTGGGTCAATCCCTCTGACCCTCAGTTTTCTGTCTGTCAAACGGATGTTTGAAAGACCTGCTTTTCAGGATTATAGTGAGGTTAAAGGATGACTCCTGAGGAAGAATCTGGAACTGTATCTGGGACATGGTAAGATGTGAAAAAATGAACACTGGTCCTTTTCCCTTCATTCCTGCACGTGAGTAAGCCCAGCTGAGGGAGGCCAGCAGGTTACTCAGCAGTTCTAAGGTCACAGAATCCCAAGACTGCAGAGTGGACAGGGATCCAGGGGTCTTTCCCTTGATCCAGGAGGGTGGGTCATCTACACTGTCTTTGGGCCGGGCTCTCCCCTTCAGCATTCCCGACCCATGACTTTTCAGCCTCAGCTTGTATACCTCCACAGACAGGGATCTCACGGCCACTTCCTGGAACAGGCTGGATAGCTCTAATTGTTACAAAGGTCTTCATCTGCCTCCTCCTAATTTCCACCCACCAGTCAGAGCCCTCCCCACAGGGCCTCAGAAAATCCCTGGAGTCCAGAAGTTTCTCGTCAGCGCTCCTGAGATCTGAAGCAGCATCTGGGGAGTGAGTGGAAGTGAGGACAGAGGAACCAGCAGGGGGAGGGCTTGGTCAGGGAGGACCAGGATGGGGGAGGAGGCCTTTGGCTTTGCATACCCCACTAGGAGTCAGCGTCAGTCTGGTGGCTCCTCTCCCCTAATTCTGCCTGGGGCTCGGTTCTGGCTGCTTCTGTCAGTGGGGATCAAGTAGAGGGGGCGCTCCTGAAACCAGCCTGGAGGACAGGCCCAGACCAGAAAGGCCGGGGGCCCCCTGCCTGGCTCCCGAACTGGTCCCACTGGTGCGGAGCCTCTGAAGGCAGGCGGGCCGCTGCAAAACTGACTCCTCCACTTCCTCTCCTCTCCCCGCGCCGCCCGCCCTCCGCCCGCCCCCACTGCCTGGCGCCCGCCTGCCCGGAGGCTGTTTTTCCACTGGCTGGCACACTGTCCATCCCACGGGGTTCAGCCTCTTTTCTGGAGTTAAACTTTTCAGAAGACCCCAACAGCCCCAGGCCCTGCCCGTCTCTCCTGGGCAGAAGAAGCAAAGGGGGAGGGAGAGGGCATGGGCTGGTCCTCACCCAGGGTCTCTGATGTTTTTGCGCCACTTGGAGAGCCCTGCCCCTCGGAGGCCAAAGCTACCGGTGCCTGCAGCGGATCCCAGGTAAGGAAGGGGAGCACACAGGGCCATTCTGGGTCTACCCGGAGGGACTTTCCCAGGGAGCCAGGCCCCTCACTGAGCCCCCTCCTCCCACTCCCCAGGCACCTGTTTCCTGTCCTGACTGCTGTTGTTGGAGGTCCCATCCGGGCCTGGATATGACACTCCCAGGCCTGGGGCCCAAGGGCAGTATACTCAGGGGCAGTGTTCTCTCCTCTGCACACCACCCACCAGTGTTGTGATTTTTGAACGCAGGGGAGCATATTAGAGGCCGTTAAGTCAAGAGGACGGGCGGGGGCAGGGGGCTGCCTTTAACCGGATCATCCCCAGCAATATGGCAAACTCTTGTCTCCCAGGGAGTTAGAGTGGAGCTCCAGGACCACCGGAGACAGTGAGTTAGGGAAGACAGATCTTTTCTCCTCCACCTGGCAACCCACGTGGCACCCAGCTCTGCCCCAGCCCATCAGGCAGTCTTGGCAGGAACCAGGAGGGACAGTAATCCAGAGAGGAGGCACAGAAGGAAATACTGGCAGGACTCCCCCACCTCTGTTTGCTGCCCGACTCCCACCTCCCATGTCTCCACTCCCCAGCTGCCTCTGGCCTGAGGACTGTTGTTTTTCATCCCGGGATAGAAAGAAGAACAGGGGCCACACCCTTGCCTGTGTGGGCGGAGCCTGGGAAGGGAGTTGGGGCAGAACAGGGCTGAAGCTGGAGGCCAGGCCTACTTCCTGGCAGGCTGCCAGCACTGCTGCTACCCAGACAGAGAGCAGGCTCGAGAGACAGCCTGCCTTTGGAGGCCCCACTGTCTCTCCGGCATGGCCAAGCCTTAGGCTTCATCAAGGCCTTCTTTGCTGGCTGACTGGGCAGCCCCAGGCCTGGGGACCTGGGTGGAACATGGCTGCTGGACAAAGAAAGGGGAACGGATGGGGAAGGGGAGGCTTGCCAGCGCTCTTGTGGATGGGCACAGAGCAGGGGCAGTAGGAAACCAGGAAAACAGAGGGCTTGCTTAGCTTGACCCACCGTTGTTCACTTCCCAGCCTCCTTAGGTCACGCTCAAAAGTCCCGCCCAGGCACGTCCATATTTGAATAGCTTTGAGCAAAGCGCTTATCCTCTGGAGGTCTTGGTTTCCTGATCTTTGCCCCACGAAGAATTACCCCCCTCACCCGCCGCCATCAACCTCACCTCTGGGAGGCACTTTCAGGACTGGACAGGTTGAGATAGAGGATGTCATACATGACGGTTATCAGGCACCGTTTATTCCCTTTCTTTTCCTCGCCCTAAGAGGAGGGCGAGGGCCAAATGATTTATCCTCTTTTCACAGATGAGAACACTGAAGTCCAGAGAAAAGTCATGAAGTATGCTGAGAGCCAGGATCTCCTAAACCAGTCCAGACCCTGTGGTCTCCAAAATGAAAAGGCTCTTATGAACTCCATGGAGGCTGCGCCAGGCTCTCTACTGACTGGAGACCCCTTCCTCCACACCAGCCCATAGCACAGGGTCAAGCCCAAGTCCCTCATCCACGGACACCCATTCCAGCTTTTATACCCATGGGCTGGACACCCGAGGACACACCCTCCAAACTGTCCTAGGTCCCCCAGCACATTAGCAGTACCTGGAATCCCAAAGGGAAAGCCAGTCAATATCCCACATTCCCCAAAGCCACAGGGCCATTCCTAGTCCCCACCTCAAGGGAAGCTTACGGAGATGACAAGAACCTAAGTGTGTGAGGCAGACAGACCTGAGCTTGAATCTCAGCTCTGCACTCATGTGTGAGCCAGGCAGGCAATCACCCGGGGAACACTCCACCTTCTCAACCGTGCACTGGGCTATCACAGCTCAGTGCAGGACCGTGATGATGGACAGTGATGATGGACAATGAGGGATGCAAAACGCCTGACACAGAGTAGGAGCTCAGCGAACAGTGGCTACTCTCCCACCCAGGCCCTGGGGCTCCCCGAGTCTCCTTCATTCCTCACCAGCCTGACTTCACAAGAGCCCCCTTGGTCCCTATTTTCAGAGGCAAATACTGATTTGTCATCTACTGTCCCACAGGAAGCACCCAACTGGCCACTACAGAGGATGAAATAGCAAGACTGTGCCCTGCCTTCCAGTGCCCACTAGCCTGCAAGCTCTCGTAGTCCCACCTGGAGCCATCACCCAGATCTCCTCCTGCCTCCACGCTTGCCGTCAGTCCTCTGGCTGACCCATCACCATGGCAGCCCTGATTGCAGAGAACTTCCGCTTCCTGTCACTCTTCTTCAAGAGCAAGGATGTGATGATTTTCAACGGGCTGGTAGCACTAGGCACGGTGGGCAGCCAGGAGCTGTTCACCGTGGTGGCTTTCCACTGCCCTTGCTCACCAGCCCGGAACTACCTGTATGGGCTGGCAGCCATTGGGGTGCCAGCCCTGGCGCTCTTCCTCATTGGCGTCATCCTCAACAACCACACCTGGAACCTGGTTGCCGAGTGCCAGTACCGGAGGACCAAGAACTGCTCGGCTGCCCCCAACTTCCTCCTCCTAAGCTCCATTGTGGGCCGCGCGGCCGTGGCCCCCGTCACCTGGTCTGTCATCTCCCTGCTGCGTGGTGAGGCCTACGTCTGCGCTCTCAGTGAGTTCGTGAACCCCTATTCGCTCACGGTTGGAGAAAGGAGCTTCCCACTAGCCCATGCCACAGAAATCCTGGCCAGGTTCCCATGTGGGGAGGGCCCTGCCAACCTGTCAGTCTTCCGGGAGGAGGTCAGCCGCAGACTCAAGTACGAGTCCCAGGTAAGACTGTACCAAGAGAAGCTCCTCTTTTCTCCCCTACCTGATGGCAAGTGGGCAGGTAACAGCTCAGGGTTAACCCTGGAGTTAGTCCTCTGGAGCTGAGCTCTCCAGAAAATCACTAGATTATCAGTCTCAGGCATCAGAGCTGGGTATCCACAGGTTAGCGATTGGTGGGGAAAGGGTCAACGCCATCCCAAATAAGAGAGTTTTAAACATTAAAGGAATTTTCTTCTTGCTCAGTCCGAGCCTGATACCTGTCACAGATTAAGCCCTTTGCTCCAGCCGGATTGAGCACAAACCCCTGCCGTCTTACGAAACTTTTGCTGTTGGCCGTGAGCTGGTAGTGGAGGATGGCTGGCTCAGGGGACGAGCCTGTTCCTATCCCAGGAAAAGCCACTACCCAGCAGAGTCAGCCTCAGGCACTGGTGACAGAAGAGGAGTCCCTTGAGACAAGAGGGGTGTCCAGTCAGGAAGTAGCAGCTGCCGCCACGATCCTAGCCTCAGTCTCAGCTTAGTTCTGAAGGAGCGGAGTTGGTCAGGTAGAGGAGGCAAGGGCAGAGAGTTGGGCAGGAGCAGAAAAACAGCTTGTGTTAACTTGAAAGAAGCAGGGTGTGAGAAACAGGCAGAAAAGAGCAGTTTTCTTTTTTGGGGGGTCACGCTGCACGGCATGTGGGATTTTAGTTCCCTGACCAGGGATTGAACCCGTGCAATGGAAGTGTGGAGTCTTAACCACTGGCCCGCCAGGGAAGACCTTCGCACAGATTTTCTAAAGGTACATAAGTAACAGAAGTAGAAAAGCAGGGCTAGAGACAGCACCAAAGGAGATGGAAGATGGTAGACAGAGAGATAAAATGTGTTTGATGCTCAAATGCCCACAGATCTCTGTCCACGCTTAAATGGGGAAACAAAGATGACCTTGACTGTCCTAGTCCTCAATAGGTTCACGGCCACACGAGACAAGCACATGAGTGATTTCCAAGAGGCTAAGTCTAAACACAGAGAAGGTGAGAGCTCCAGGGAGTGAGGGCAAAGTGGAGGAATCACAGTCAGAAGGACCTGCTGCCCTTAGAGGAACAGAATCTGAGGCCAGGGAAGTGACAGAGCCAGCTCTTAGGGGGTTATGTCTGGTTCCACCCAGCCCACACCCTCTGACCAGCTCCCGCCACTTCTTCCCGGGGCAGGTGGGGGTCCAGGCAGCTCCCTGCCCGCCCTCAACCCTGCCCCTTCTCTGGCCAGCTCTTTGGGTGGCTGCTTATCGGCGTGGTGGCCATCCTGGTGTTCCTGACCAAATGCCTCAAGCACTACTGCTCACCACTCAGCTACCGCCAGGAGGCCTACTGGGCACAGTACCGCGCCAACGAGGACCAGCTGTTCCAGCGCACGGCTGAGGTGCACTCACGGGTGCTGGCTGCCAACAACGTGCGCCGCTTCTTCGGCTTTGTGGCGCTCAACAAGGATGATGAGGAGCTGGTCGCGAAGTTCCCGGTGGAAGGCACACAGCCGCGGCCACAGTGGAACGCCATCACAGGTGTCTATCTGTACCGTGAGAACCAGGGCCTCCCACTCTACAGCCGCCTGCACAAGTGGGCCCAGGGTGTGCTGGGCAACGGCATGGCCCCTGACCATGTAGAGATGTCCCTGCTTGCCTCCTGAGGGTCCTGTTCCCACACTCTTGGCCAATGACAGTATTTGGTCCCAAACTGAACCCCACTGCCTGCTCACATCAGCATCAGAGGGGACTTCTCTTCTTTGGCTGTGTGTGGCTTGTGGGATCTCAGTTCTCTGACCCAGGGCTGAACCCTCGCCCTCTGCAATGAAGGTGCAGGGTGCCAACCACTGAATTCTCCAGAGATTTTTTTTTTTAACCATGGATTTTAGGGGAAACAGGCCAGGAGAGAAACGAACACAAAGTAAAACTGGGATATGGATGTGAGAGCTGGTAGATGAGGTGGGCTCTGACAGGAAGGCCCTCAGACCTGAAGAAGTCCCCTTTCCCGTTGCCACCAGCCACTTGGTCAACAGCTTTGGAGAAAAGACCCTTTCCCAGAACTGGTCCTTCATGAACTATGATGTGGAGGATGACCTCTGACTAGAGGGACCCAGTCCCACCAGTGTGGGAAGCCCTGACCAGCAGTCAGGTGACGATGAAACTCACCAGCAGGCTCTGCGTGCAGAAGGCTATGCAGTTCATTTGTGGAACTGCACATGGACATCTGGCTCGGTGTGCACAGCTGGGAAGCAGCCCTCTGGCATATGCCTCCAGCTTTGTTTTATACACATTTTGATAAAGCTTTTCTTAATATAAAGGACTAGCTTGGTGTCTGTGTGACTAGATGGGTCATGCTACAGCACGCTGGAGGTCATGATGCTGTGCACTAAGTTGCTTCAGTTATGTCCAACTCTTTGCAACACCTGGACTGCAGCCCACCAGGCTCCTCTGTTCATGGGGATTCTCCAGGCGAGAATACTGGAGTGGATTAGCCTATCCCTTATCCAGGGGATCTTCTCGACCCAGGAATCAAACTGGGGTCTCCTGCATTGTAGGTGGATTCTTTAACAGCTGAGCTACCGGGGGGACAGGACTAAATCCCAGACCTGGGGAGGTAAGAGGACAGAGACCCTGGGAGAGACTGAAATGGGTGGAAGGGAGGGCTGGGGGTCGGGGGAGGCAGAGGCAGGTGCTCCCACTTGCGGGAAAGCCCTGGGGCTGACGATCTCTTAACTGGGTTCAGTCATCTGATTTGATCTGGGAAACAGATGGAGCCTGGCCTTTCTTAGAGGGAAGCTCGGCTTAGACGTCAGGAGTCAGCAGACCCGGCCCCTGTGCTCAGTTGGGCAGTGCAGTTCTCGTAACCCAGAGCTAACGAGCGAGAACAGGCCAGCCCTGCATGGCCTCCCTCCCACGCCCGCCCTGCCTGAGCACCTGCGCCACTTCTAGGACCTCTGATGCACTCTCCCTTGTCCCTGTCCCGCTCTCTGGAGTGGGACTCGGTCATTTCCCACGGAAAAGCTCCCCAGCTCTCAGGACATTTAAAGCTCTGCCCAAGGAAACTTTTAATTCCCTTAAGACCAAGCCAAAAATGAGCTGGCTTCAACTAGCTGGGTCTGGGCTGGCCTCTTAATTCAGGAACACGGGATTATTACTTATCAAAGGAGGCAGAGACAGTCTTTCTGGGAAATTTACAGGGAGGTGGGGGTGTAGCGGGCCCATCACATCCCTTCTCCCTCAGGTCCAAGAAACAAGTCAATGCCCTCTGCCCAGCAATGCCTCAGGGGAGCGACAGGAGGAGAGAGAATCTGTGTAGTCTCCCAAGGTCACACAGCACGTCAATCTAGGTCCTCACTGAGCCTCGCATGTGCCAGGCCCTGTGGCAGCACATAACATACATGCTCTCACTCAATCCTAAAATCCTTCAAGTAGGAATTTTTACCCCATTTTACAAATGAGGCACCCAGTTCAGAGAGGTTGGGTAATCTGGCCCCACTGGCCTTGGGAGGAAACATCACCAGGTGGTTTGAGCTAACACCTGTCACCTTCCTCTCAGGCACTCAGGCCCCTGAATTTCCCATCTGGGCTCTGCCTCTCCTGTCCGAGCCTCACAGCCTTCACCAAGGGGCACAAGGGACCACGGAGCTGAGGCAGAGGCAAGGTCCAGAGATCCCATAATCTAGAAGGTGTGGCCTGCTCCCAGGACCCTCCTCATCACCCCATCCACACCCCCGGCTGGAACAAGAGCCCACCAGGGCCACAGTGGGCTCCTGACTCCAGGGTTGTGGGGAGTCGGCCCTCCATTCCTGTTCCCAGGGACCTCCCACGAAGGAGACTCTCAGGTTCTCTGGGGACCCAGAAGCCTGCTGCCTGCAACCAGTGAGCGGCCTCAGAAAAGGAAAAAGATGAAACAGATTGGCTCTTAACACAAACAAAAAGGAATTATAAGAAATCTCAAATTCATTTTTATCTTGACAGGATTATCCCAAGGATGCTGCAGAAAAAGCAGCACTTAAATAGAGTCCCCAGGCAACACAGTTTCTCAACTGCCCAGGAGCCTGAGGGTCGGCCAGGCTGTCACAGTGCCCTGGAGCCAGCCGGCCCCTAGTCGTCCATCATAGAGCTCTTAGCCTCCACGTATTCCAGGGCCTTTGCCTTTACTGCCTGCACATCCTTCTCCGAGCCGTGTTGCTTCTCATAGTCCAGGTAGCGCTTGAAGAAGAATTTCATTCGCTTGGGGGCCAGGCTCAGGTGAATGACCCGCTCGAAGATGTCCCTGGGAGGGAGAGCAGATGGCGTTTACCTCTTAGCCTCTGGCCACATGATTCCTAGCTGACCTTCACTCACTGCTCTCAGGCTCTGGAGCACTCCCACTTCTACCTTTATTTTTATTCCTATTATAAACTGTCACGTCCGTGGACAGAGAGACCACCACCCTTGCTTTCCAGAGGAGCAGACTGAGATGTTACAGGACCGAGTGCCCTGAAGGCACACAGTGAATCACGACAGAGTTAACGGGATGGGACAGCCAGTGAGGTGTGGATCTGTGAGGATGGCTCTGCTTAAAACTCACTGAGAGGCGTGGGTGAGGCACCAACTCTTTCTGGACCTCAGTCCAGCCATCTCTAATCCTCCCTGTCTTGGGGCGATGCTGGCAGTGATCGGTGAGATCATGCCTGTGAATACTCTCTACAATGAGAACCAGGCTCAGCATCAATTATGAGGAAAACCCAGTCTCCTGACTCCCAAGCCTGAGGCCAGCCTACCTCCCAGCTGACGTTCCAGCCAGACCGGTGGCAGGCCCCCAAGGTAGAAAAAGAAATCGGAAACATGAATGCCACAGAACCTGCTGTGTCATCTCAAAGCCATTTTTCCAGACAGAGAGAACTGGGGTGCTGGGAGCTGCTGTGGGGCTGAAACTCCTGAGTGGTCAGTGCCCACCCCCTGCCCCACCACAGAGTGAGGCCTCAGCCCGTCCTCCCCTCTCACCGGGCTTCCTTCTGGCTGCCATGCTTGATGGTCATGTCGATGTAAACCGACCAGACGTCCGTGCGCTTTGGGTAGGCGCTCAGTGTGCTCTCAAAAATGGCCCTGGCACGTTCTGCATCCCCCAGCTGGAACTCAAGCTGGGCAAACTTGGCGATGACATCCACGTCTGCAGGGAGAGGACGGCTCAGACACAGAAAGCAGAGAGACGCCCTCAGCACAACACGTGACACTGCGGGCAGTCTGACGCCTGATTCCCTGCCCTTGGGTCCTGAGACCCAGGTGATGACAAGAGGGACGCAGGGGCAGGTTGAGGGCTAAATACACAGATGGACACTGTTCTACGACTCCCGAACAGCAGACATTCTACTCTCTGGGCCCAGAAGGTAGATGGGGGATGGGAGGTGGGCTGTGGGGCAGGCAGGCAGAGGCCAAAAAATTGATGCTAATCCCTTTTTTGTTCCTCAACCTCTGGAGTTCAGCATTTAAAATGCAACACGAGCACATGTTCACGAGCATATAATCAACAGAGAGCAAGCTACGTACCCTCCAGAAGGTTTCCCTAAACCAGCCCTTGGATGAGAAGACCCCCCCCATGACCCTGCCCAGATGCAGGGAGTCTACTGTGCTCAGGAACTGGGTGGGTGGAAGGAATGAGCACTCACGCTCTTTCTTAGGCAGGCACTCAAGGGCTCGCTGCATCACACGGTGACTGGCCTCCGCCTTTCCCCTCCGCAGAAGAAAGGCGCCGTATTTGACCCAGACAGCTTTCTCCTGCCTGAAACGCTTCAGCATCCGGTTATAGAGTTCACCAGCTTCCTGCGGGATGAATGATGTAAGCTGAGGACAGCAGGTCAGAGCGGAAGGGGCAACGACAGAGACAGATGGTGACACTCGTGGAAAGCGAGCCCTGGGCTCAGGGGCTCCCTCGGTGTCCAGGCCCCAATCCAGGTATGTGAGGGGACAGGGCAGCCACCCAGGATGAGGAGAGCATGTGCTAGGGAGTCTCCCTCCTAACCCCATGCCTCGAGGAGGTCGAGACTAGAAGAGAGAGCGTGAGCGTGATGAAGGCGAGAGACGGAAAGGGGCAACTGGGCTGTATCACCTCCTGTCTGTGACACCTCTGTTGGTGGCTCAAGGGTGGGGGAAATGACTTCTCCCACCTAGAAGATGAGCAAGCCTGGGGCCCAGAGGCGGGGGTTTCCCCCCTCCCCGAGACATCCCCGCTGCCTCAGAGACTTCCAGGAGCTCGTCTCTGAGTGGCTGAGGCCCCTCTGGAAGCCGGCTGCCTGGTCCAGACCCCTACCTGGAATTTCTCTGACTTGGTGTAAATGTCAGCTAGATGGAGAAAGACCTTGAGAGGCTCATTGTACTGCACGGCCCGCTCGAAGACCTTGGTCAGTGACTCCTGGGAACCATACATGTTTTCTAGGTTCAGCAGGGCCACCCACACATTCAGCTTCTCTTGCTCCTCTCTGGAGGGAGAACAGTCAACATATGAGTCCATCCTCTCAGCCCCATGAGCCCCCACTCCCAATTGGGAGGCTGGAACTACATCCCCCTCCCCAGGCTCCACCCATGTCCTCAGTCCCCACCCACACAAGCTGGCACTCAGAGCCCCTGTACCCACTGCAGCTCATGTGGAAGCAGGAATCCCAATCCATGGCTGCAGGATCTG